ATGACCATTTAATGCAATTTACTAACACATTTTCCAACAAGACCTTCCACCATTTTATTCATATCTCTTGATTGGATGATCCAAATCCCATTCGGTAAGCTGTGGTAGATAGAAGACTTCAATATCTACAACTTTCATGAAGGAAGTACCTCCAAATTCGGAAGGGAAGACACAGTCGTGCCCAGGGAGGCACGCCGTGCCTGCAGTGTATTCATGTACCGGGCTGCTGGAATGCCAGTCACGGTCGTGCCTGGCTCTTAGGCACGCCGTGCCTGGACCCGAAAACGCGAAATAACGGGTTTGATCCGTAGTCACGGTCGTGCCTGGGCCCTGGGCACGCCGTGCTTGACCCCGTTTAAGTCCTAATTCACCCATACTATTTGTTTTCTATAAATAAGGTCTCTCTTCTCCTGTTTAAGGGTTACGAACATTACGGAGAGGCCTAGGGACGAATTTAACATCGTTTTTCCGCTATTTTCTTCAAGAACCCTGGTATTATTTGTAAGTTCATCTTTTTAATTAATGACAATTAATTTTATTCTTCTCAATTCTATTGACTCTTCAATTATGAATCGTGAGTAGTTTAATTAGGGATTTGAGGTTAATGAAGGGGTTAATCATGATGTATGGCTAGTTTCTTAATGGATTAATTGCATGAATGCCGTTTAATTTGTGTCTGAATAATTTGACTGCTATCTTTTGTAACCTGGAACCACGGCTAGAATTACAATTGCTTGTAGAGTAAATTAAGAGAGATCTAGTTTATTCTAGGACACATTCACACACACTTAATGGTTCGCTAAGAGATTAGTAGCGATTAAGGGGCCGTAAGCTCGCTCGTCTTGGCAATAATTTAGGATCATGTCGCATGAGAGATCAGCCTGGTCCCCTAAATTATTGTACTCTACGCCGCAAGAGCGGTAAGAACTTAGTAATGATTAGCTAGGCTCAATTAAATTAATTTCATGTAATTAAGCCTGATCTTCCAAAAATCTGGTTACCCCGGAATCAATCTCTGTTCCCTTCGTTGTTAATTAGAGAGAAACCAATCTATTATTTTTATCGCTCATTCCATTATTTTAATTTCCCAATCCAATCAATCTCACACAACCGCATATTATTTTATTTTATTTCTTTTTAGTCGCTTAATTTAGTTAATCTTTAATTCCCTTTTGTCCGCCCCTGTGGAGACGATACTCGTATTTTCAACCACTTTTCTACAACCTTTTTAAGTGCGAGAAAACTCACATCAGATTACCTACCTCTTGGTAGTATAAATAGTACTACCTCTGTCCCCCTGTTATTGTCCCATTGCGGTTTCACGATAAAGCACTCAAATTATTTTTAGAAAAAAATAACATATTCAGAAACTACATTAAAAGCTTTACAAAGTCGCAAGAACCAGAACCAAATTTGATAAAAATTTGATACATAAAGTAAGAGATTATGATCAGTGATTTGCGTTGACCAAGTGGGAAATGGGACAATAGCAGGGTGGCGGAGGGAGTAGCATTTATTTCATTGTTAAGGGTTGACAACTTATACTCCTTAGGAATAACATATTGCTATTACTCCCCCTCCTCTTAGGTCAGATAGACGATCGGCCGTTGGGCTTGTAGTGAAGTGTGTTGTAACCGACCTCTTATTATTGATTGAATAAGATACGACCCACTTACTACTCCTAATACTTGTTCTCCCTTAGTTGCTTACATCCTATATTCCATTCGAGACCCAAGGGAAGGTGATGGGCCTTTGGAATTGAAGGAATAAACCTCAACACTATACTATAATATACTATACTATACTATACTATACTATACTATACTATACTATACTATACTATACTATACTATACTATACTATACTATACTATACTATACTATACTATACTATACTATACTATACTATACTATACTATACTATACTATACTATACTTGAAATGAGGCATTTATTGGTGTAGCCATAATTCAGTTCTTAGTTGAGAGTTCGGAATAATTGATTAGTGTCAACAGTTGACATTTCTTTCCTTACTTTTTTATGATATTTCCCAACTGTTTGTTGGCAAGTCAAATTCCTAAAGTTTGAATTTATCTTCGGATTTTATCAAAATCCATAGGTGTCTATGAACAGAACACCTGCCAAGGATCCTTTCAACATAAAAAGGATTAGGATCCTTTCAACATGATATAGTAGTGATATACATTACCCCCAACACATACGGAGTCTATAGTTTAACACTGAAGCTCTTGTCCAATAAAAACAACACACAAAACATTACACCTATAAGTTAATTATATATATATATATATATATATATATATATATATATATATATATAGAATTTGGATCAAATAAAAAAAAGTCTTAACGTGTAAAATGAGAATTAATCTCAGCCGTCCAAACTGTCGATCTAATTCACAATAACCGCTATCTGATGCACTTTCGAATAAACCTTAATTGATGCACTTTTCAAAAAGTGCATCAAATAAGGTTTACTCGAAAGTGCATCGGATATGGTTTATTGTGCATCAGATCGACACTTTGGACGGATGAGATTAATTCTCACTTTACACGTTAAGATGTCTTCTCATTTGAACGCATCCCTATATATATACTACGTATGTTATGTTTCAATGAGAAGTATGTTTGATGTGAGAAACAAATGTGATAACACTCTCATTAAAATCAATGTAGTGTTCAATCGATCTTATCTTTTAATATACATTTTTAAATTTGTTCAAATAAAGCCAAAAGTTACCTATATAAACACGGTGGCATATCGTATCCATGTAGCTCGGTCATCGTTGCCGGCGGCCCAATTCAAAAGTGAGATAAAACAAACGAAGCCTAGCTAGCTAAATTGTATTGTAGCGGACTTTGAATTGAATGTAATAATGCCGCTTATCGATCCCAACACCCATCCACCATTCATTAATGAAACAAAAAAAAATTAAATACCGGCCCGGGGACTGGCTGTATAAGTAGAAAAAATGGAGTTTTTGGTTGGACGTGCCTTACCTTAAACTCTTAATGTGTGCAAAATGATAATTTTATTCAACCTCTCATAATTAGGAGGAGAATCATATAATGTTAATCAAACTGAGTAAAATATAGATAAAATAAAAAATAAATACGTTTCTTTCTCAAAATAGCATTCATTTAATCCTATTAAAAGTGTCATAAATCATAGTGACTAGAAGCAAATATAAACACTTCTTAAGTTTAGGGTTGATTTGGTCTCGCTCCAGACAGACAGATTCAAGGGATGGGAGAGTATGTGAATGCCCCTGGGGCCGATCTCCTAATCAAACAGTCTAGCGGTTCTGATCTGGTCCGGTGCCGAACCGATTCCGGGACCAAGACTCACTCCAACCCTATTTGAGTATATGATATATGACGCCTACACAAATGTATTAGATTTAAATCTTTCCGTACGTGATATTAGATTCAAATCTTTCCGTACGTGATATTATATGATATTTACATCATTTAGATTGCTTTCATTCTCAGACCAATTCATAATTGAATAGACAAGATAAGACTTAGAAAATAGTAAAATACAAATAAAATAAACATTTAATCGGCCACGCCAGTTCAAGGATGTTTTTACTTGGACTGAAATTTGCTGGTCTGGTCTAGTCCGTTTAAGTTTGGTCTCGTCTGATTGATTTGGTCTGGTCTGATAAATGCCTGGTTTGTGTGTATTTTATAACTACGGAAGTCTGATATAATATGGTCTGGTCTGTTTAAACCTGGTCTCTAGTCTTGGATTATAAACAGTACAAGTAAAAACATGCCAAGTTAGGTCATTCACACACAAAAATATCAATGGAAGCGAATTAAAATTAAACATCCATATATACTCATTACTCGTGTCAATTACACATACACTCCGTATGAGTTTAAAATGAGAGGAAGACTGGTTAAAGAAGTCAATGATTTTACACATTAATTAAAATCATAGGCATAAATAAATATACAAAGAATTCAAGTCAACGAACTTCTAGAAAGATATACTTCAAGAGTGTTTGGGGTTGATTAAAAAAAGCGCTTTTCAGCTTTTGGTTTAAAAAAAGTTGAAAAGAGTGTTTTCAAATGATAGCTTCTGCTTAAATTAATCACTTAAAAGCTAAAAGCTGGAAGCAGGTAGAAGGGTGCTTTAAACTGCTTCTCACTTTTTCTATTACACAAAAGGTACTTATTTTACCAAACACTACCAACTTTTGCCTTTTCAGAATCACCTTTTTCTCAAACACTACCAACTTTTACTATTAATCACTTTTCCAAAAATCACTTTAAAAAATCACTTTTTTTAAAGTTGAATCAATCGCAAACACTCCCTTCGTATATGGATCAAGTAGCGAGTAGATAAGCTGTGTCCTTCGTATATGGATCAAGTAGCGAGTAGATAAGCTGTGTCTGATTTAATTAATTAGAGTTCACGTACTTAATACGATAGTATATAACTGCCTAGCTAGCTAGCTATAGTAGTTATATTTATTAATATCCATCTAACTTACAGCTAATGAATAACTAATGGCATATAAAACAACTAACTAATACGATAGTACTTCCTCTGTTCCAATTTAATTGCAACTAACCGTCAACATTTCACGTTTGCCAACGCACAAGTTTGACCATTAATATCTCTCATTCCTTATTAGTAAAAAATATAAAAAATTCATATTTTGAAAATTTAGAATGAGAAGAATTTAACAATATTTTTTTTAAATTTAATTTATAATACATTAATTAATGAAATATAGTCAAAGTAAAATATGTGAATAGTTAAATATTTTTTTAAATTTAAAAGAGAAAGGAGGTAGTATTAATTAATCACATGCCTCAATTCAAGTCAATTGAGAAATACATGCAAGATATATGACGTAGGAATTGAATGATGGGGGTAACAATATGCATGCAATGGACTACTAATACGTACTACTTAGCTTTCTTTATATAGATGAGTTTCCCACGCACAACATGTTATATATTATTATCTAAATAAACTTGGAATTGATTGTCAGCTAGAAGATACATACATACATAGATAGCCTGCAATATATATATATATACATTCCTAGCGAGCTAAGCTAGCTGTAATATATATGATCAATTATTTCCTCCTCCACTACGCCGGCGGCGCCCTCCCCCTATTATTATTAATATGGTGCGCTGCGGCCTTGATGGCGGTGGTGATCATCATCATCATCATCTACTCCGCCCACGGGCTTGGGCGCTACCCCGCCGTATTGTTGCTAAACTATTCATGTTACAAACCGCCGGAACAAAGGAAGTGCTCTTACCAAGTGGCGGAGGCTTTCGTCCGCCGCAGCGACCACCGTTTCTCCGACGACACCCTCAACTTCATGCGCAACATTTATGCCAAGTCCGGCTTGGGGGACGAAACCTACGCCCCCCAATTCATTTTTGACGAGTCTTCTTGTAGTACTCGGGGGCCGTCGCTCAAATGCGCCCTTCAAGAAGCCCAAGAGGGTATCTTCTCTTCCGTGGATGCCCTCTTCGCCAAAACCCACCTAATCCATCCTCCTTCCTCCATTGATGTCCTCATCGTCACATGCGGGAGCTTCTCCCCCACTCCTTCCCTTTCCTCGCTCATCATCAACCGTTATAAGCTTCGACCCGACGTCAAAGCCTATAACCTCAGTGGGATGGGGTGCAGTTCCGGCGTCCTTTCCATCGACCTCGCTGCTAGGCTCTTGCGTAGCAGCGGGCGTCCACACAACGCCCTTGTGGTGGTCACCGAGAGCATTACCCTCAACTGGTACCACGGGGCTAGCCGCTCCATGCTCGTCACCAATTGTCTCTTTCGAGTCGGGTGCACCGCTGCTCTAATCACCAATGACCCGAGTTTTCGCCGAGTCGCAAAGATGGAACTCGTCGACTCCCTCAGGACTCACCACGGCGCGGATGACAGTTCATACCGCGCCGCATTTCAGATGGAGGATGAGGAGGGGATCACCGGAGTGGCCCTAACCAAAGATTTAGTGAGGGTGGCTGGCGTCAACTTGCGCAACCACATTAAAACCCTAGCCCCGCGAGTTCTCCCACTGAGTCAACTCACGAGCTACCTGGTCTCCGCCGCCCTGTATGGCCGCCGGTCGAAGATTATCCCGCCTCCCAAGGTGCCGGATTTCACCACAGCATTCGAGCACATGTGCATACACACGGGTGGGAGGGCGGTGATCGATCAGGTGGCGAGGGTGCTGCGGCTGAGCGACGAGGTCACCGAGCCGGCTCGGATGTGTCTAAACCGGTTCGGCAACACGTCTAGCAGCCTTGTGTTCTATGAGTTGGCTTACTTTGAAGCCAAAAAGAGGGTGAAGAAAGGTGACAGGATGTGGATGATAGCGTTCGGTACAGGGTTTAAGGTTGGGAGCCTCGTTTGGAAGTGGCTTCAAGACGGGACTCGGGAAGAAGATGACGACAATCCATGGAGTGATTGCATACGAAACTTCCCTTTGAAATCGATCTGATAGATAATGTTTGCTATAATAATAATATATGATATGTAAACAAGCAATAGGATCGATGCAATTAATAGCTAGCTAACACTGCGTCAACATTATATATGTACGCACGTACGTACGTTGGTATTAAATTAGGTAGATTACTATATTTGGTTTTGTACTTCGGTTGAAGCGGTGATCCATGATGTAACAACAGCAATGACAAAATATTGTCATCTCCGATCCATACAAAATACATTCGCAATCGATTTTTTATACAATAATAACCATTACGTATACACCGATCAACTTATCTTCTTTGTTCCCCTGCTCTAAGGGTTCTACTCACAATCACTTTGAACTTTTTAATTGATTTGGGAAAAGGTGATTAATATTAAAATTTGGTAGTAGTGTTTGAGAAAAAAAAAATTGAAAAGTAAAAGTTAGTAGTGTTTGGTAAAAGAAGTGATTTTTGTGTAATAAAAAAAGTAAAAAGCAGATTCTAGCTTTTAACTTTTAAGTATTAATTTAAGTAGAAGTTGTCACTTGAAAACACTCTATTTAGTGTTTGAACAAAGCCTTAATCTATTATGTGGAATAATGAAATGGTAGATTCTATGGTACCCTTAAGGTACCATATATACATTTGTCCACATGGACCAATAGAAATGATGCAGTTGAATTAATTAAATCTAAATTAAAATGAATAGAATGGTTTGGACCAATGAAATGCATGGTAGATACGGTACCCTAATTTTTAAAAGGGTACCGGAGTTGTCACCCTGCTATAGGTTCCTCTCTTTAAGAGTTTGAAAGATACTACGGAGTATACTATGTATTTATAATGAGATAGATGTCGAAAATACAAGTTGGCCTCACTAAGGCTTTCATTACACCCTCAAGTTGCGTGGGAGATACAACGAGCTACACTACAAGAAATGTTACATTTGTTGACACACATTTTTAATGATACTTAAAAAAGTGTCACAATAGCTTGTATATATTGACACTTTTGTGTGACAAGAAATTTATTTGATTTTTTATTGAGTGCATACAATATTATCAACACATAATAAAAAGTAACCTTCACTTAACTCAACAAGTACTCCACAATTGTTTAGAAAAAATTAAATTTAGTTTTGCTGACACACTTAAAAAACTTAAAGGAATGCTCAAATGAAGTTACCTAATACGGAGTAGATAACAAATGCGGAGTCATTAAACAACTAGAACTAAAACGGGAAGTTAAGGGCTCGTTCGGTATAGTTTTGAGTTTTCTGTTTTTGGGTTTTTAAAAACAAAAAACTGTTTTTAGTTTTCTACTCTCAATTTTTTGAAATCGTTTTGTTTTAGTCCTAATTCATTTTCAGTTTTGTCATTCCAAGAAAAAAAATTATTGGTTGTCCGGTGGTGGTACGGTAGTGGCCGGTGGTGGTCCGGTAGTGGCCGGTGGTGGTTCGGTGGTGGCCGATGGTGGCCGGTGGTGGTCCGGTGGTGGTCCGATGGTGGCCGGTTGTGTCCCGGTGGTGTTCCGGTAGTTGGGTATTGAAGATAAATAATAGAGATTAACAAATTTATAGAAACTATGTTTTGTGGATTTCAGAATTATGTTTTCGTTTTCTAAAAACACTTATAAAGATTATGATTTTGGAAACAAAAAACAAATTTTTACTAAACTTGTTTCTGTTTTTTTTCTGTTTTTTTTCCTAAGAAAAAAACAAAAACCGAAAAACAGAAACATTACCTAAAGCACCCTAGACATCTCATTTCAAAAATCAAAATTCGAAGACGTCCTCGGAATCCGACCTCCCACGAAAAGGTCGATCGTCTTTCCGCAAACCCTCTAATCAGCTTTGATGTACGATCATGCTCAACAGAGTAGTTCATATCGTTTAGAATGCTCTTGTATCCTCTTTGAGCAGAACATCCAGATTCAGCCGTCGCCAATTTGAATTTAAGCGGATTCGGTAGCACCTCAATTATATTACCAGGACTCATCCAATCCCGCTTCTCAATATCCCTTAGATTGGTACTGCTTTTTATTTTTTATGGATTGATTAATTTGTATTTGATCTAATATACGCCTGAGTGATTTGTTCATTGCTTTCTATTGATTTTGCTTTTTATGGATTAATTTGTATTTGATCTAATATCTGCGGAAATGATTTGTTCATTGCTTTCTATTGATTTATTATTTGATCTATGTCCGCTGGAGTACGCTAATATTTAAGCCTCCTTATATTGATCCAGCATAAAGAAATTAAAAGGCTTTCTACTTTTCATGGATTCCTACCCTACTCTGTTTATATTTCAAACATTTCATACATAAATGATAAAATCTGTAATTTAGATCATGAGTTAAGATAAATTGTGTTACACAAGAGTTCTTAGTTTTATAGATTTAATTATTAAAATCAAATCATATTTATGTTTTATATCTACACCTTTGATTTCTATATTATATACTCTGCTGCACTCAGTGACATTGACCTATCAATATTAACATCAGATAGTTCTATACTAATTTATACGTAGTATGTATTATATTAACTTGTGATTTTTCGTAATTGATCATTTCCCTTTTGGAGATTTGCAGTTTATTTGTTGAAGTTTAATGCTAAAATCTGATATTGTGAACTTTCTTCTTTGAACCTATAGAAGTTTGGTGTTTTAACCTATACCTTTGTGTAGCTTTTCAATTGATGATGATTTTTAGATACAATGTTTGTGTTTATGATTATTGTGAAAGGAAGTATGCGAACATGTCTTGTCTATTTCAATTCTATTCTGTGCTTATTATGATTATTATCTGTATTTTTCTTCAAGTAACTCCCAACCTTAGTTTGCTAATTAATACCCTGAGTACTACATATATTCTTACTCACCCACACTTGACATGCCTCCATGTTTTATCTTCTACTTGTTTTATTCAAAAATAATGGCTATTTGTCAAACTAACTTCACCCTTGTATTATATAGATGGATTCATTATTAGGTGCAGCTTCTTTGGACTGCAACTCTCGAAGTACGCAGATAAGTAGCAGATATATACTCTAAATCCGACTTATAGTTTTAATGATATACACTTTGGCAACCTAGAGACCAACTTATAGTTTTAAATTTCAAAGCACTAACATGTGTGTTGTCTAGCAATAAGTATAAAAAAGTTAATCAAATGTTTATTAATATTATAATTTTAAAATAGTAGTACAAAAAGTAGTTGGTAAAAATGGACTTGAGTAAAAGAGGATGCTCCTTTCTGCTCCAAACAACACTTTTTTGAAAATATTGTTTGGCTCAGATGGGGTTAATTTCAGATGTCGCAAAAAAGCAAATTAAAACATTTATATATAACTACAAATGTGTTTGATTTGCGGGTACTTGAATACACAAAATGGATAGATCATGGAGAACATTGAATATCATCATTTTCAAGGTCTATGCCTAAAAATGTAGCAGAGACTTTTAGGCTTGATACACGTGGACTATCTTCCGTTTTGTAGGTTTGGATTGAAGAACTCTACTCCATTCTCACATTGAGGTTAGCTTAACATATGCTGCATAACTTTTTTTTAGTTCTTTATTTATTATTAAGTTTGAAATTATCTTTAGATGCTCTAAAACTAATTATCTTTGTAAAATATTATCAACAGCAAATGCATAGTAAGATGTTCTAAAATTAATTTCAGTATTGTGTTGAAGTAACAATTAGACAATGCAGGAGGTTAAACATTGTCTCAACCAATAAGTCCTCAACAGTGACAGGGTCCAATAGATTTTGATGATTGGAGAGATATTTCACATACAATTGAGGAAACTTTATGAAGCATTATGATTCATGAAGGTATCTAGCTAGCATGATTTTATCCATATCCATTTTTACCTAAAATTGTTCTCAGCTTGTGCTGATATTTGTAGGAAAATTCAAATTCCTATCTGCTGATACTCTGGAAGTGAAGAAATATATTAGGCAATGTCTGAGATAATTATTTGCATTTACTGTTTTGATGGGTTTTTTAATTTTATTTGTTTTATTTGAAACTATGAGGCAATGTCTGAGATAAAGAAAGAGATTTGGTCAAAGAATCAGGAGCCTTACATTACAGGGTGAAAGTCCTTTCCTAGATATGCTGAAGTAGAGGTGATGCGGCTAACTTTTTAAAATTAAATTTGGGTGTTTAATTATCAAAGTTCTCAAATATATAAATATATTCTTCAAACTCATCATTTTATTGCTATAAAAACCAGTGCTTTATTTATGTACACCAAGTGTCATTTATAATATTTCAAAATGAAATTTTATCATTGCAGGCTATGATGAGACTAATTTTAATTGTGGCATATTTCAACTTACATATGAGTTATGTACACAAACTCATCTTGTGCAGTTATGTGTGATATGTTAAGAGAATAATTTTTTACTACCTCCGTCCCAAAAAGAGTTGCAAATTTGACTTTTCTTAGTCAAACATTCTCGTTTTGTTCACTTAATTAGGATGTCAATTTTTAATTATATTCTAATTTGGAGTTTACAACTTTGAAGAGATTTTAATGTTGTTTTTGAATATGTAAATTTTAATTATTAAAAATTGAATTGAGTATCCATAGAGAGGGTTGACTTTTATTATTGGTTGACCGAAAAATGTTGACTTTGCAAAACAAATTGGGACGGAGAAAGTATGTGGCATATTTTAACTTACATATGAGTTTCTTGTGCATAATAATATATTTACTCTTTATAAATACCATGAAGCGTAGTTACATGTAACTCTATCCTTGATTGGTCTATGACATTTGAAATGAGAGATTACAGAGGGCAAACCAATCCCAGTCATATTCTACAAGAATATAAGATGATATGCAATAGTACCTGGTCATTATACTAGTAATGGTATTTGTTGATTTCTTAACTTCTGAAGAAATTGAAAAAAATCTGCATTTGTGGCTCTCTAATCAATCTCTAATATACTTTCTTTGGTTGATTACTTCTAATATGCAGTTGTGAGTTTTTAATTATCTATACCAAAAATCTCTAAACTAATTATGTAGGCAATTATTACTACAAATTTATGATCCTATTTATTTGTACTAGAGCCTTGTTTATTAATTTCTACCCGTGATTAAAATAGGTTATTTTTCAGGTTTTTGATGAATCATCTCCTACCAATGAGCCATTATCAGCGGGAAGACATTGACCTTAAAAAGCTATTTGGAGATCAAGCATATAGTTGATTTTATGGGCAATTGAATTCGCATGACTCGAACTTTATGTTTTTTTTTGGGACTTTACTTCTATGATGTAAAGTTCG